TTGCTTTATTTTTAAGTGTGAAAGGGAAGAGGAGTAATTTAAGAACTTCCTTCGGGACATCCATGTACCTCACGGTGAAACATAGTTCAAGAAATTCATTAAGATGCCTATATGGTTCCTCTTCATCCAAGCTATAAAAGAGTGGACACATTTGAATGGTCTCGGGCTTGATTTCATATTGATTAGCCTCAAAATTAGGCAACACAATGCAAGTAGGTGCATGGTATGTATGAAGATTATAATGATCATGAAGGACCATTGGAGGAATTGGAGCTTGAACTCCGGGGTCATGTTGATTAAGAGGTAGGTTTTGCATGAAGCGTGGGCCTAAATAGCCAAGATTACCCTCTAGATTTTCCATGTGAATGCCTAGAATGAACGATATGACAAGGTCTATACAAGACTACAAATGACACACAAATCACAACAAAACAAGCAAGCACTCCTCCTTTGCAACAAATCAACAATTAACAAACTTCCTCCATATACAATGTTCCCATACTGCCATGCGTTGATAACAATGCAAAGAAAAGTAAATTGCCTCCACGCGGGCTTACGATTTATCTAAGAAATTAAAAACTAGCCTCCATGCGGGCCAACGATTTAACTAAGAGATTGAGTAAGAAAAAGCTCACAAAGGTCCTTTAGCACTTCAATTCCAAATTTAAAGCTTAGCTTAGCAATTTTTTAAAATTTTTAGCATTTTTCCTTGCTTGCTTAGCTCCTTTGCTTGGATGTTCCTTTGCTTACTTACTAGCTCAATGCTCTTTGTCAAAGATGAACAATCACAATAAGTAATCTAAAGAAAAATAAAAACAAAGTAAAGACACGATCAAAAGAGTACTAATTCCTAATTGATTCCACAAATACGACGTTACCTATCTCCAACAATGGCGCCAAAATTTGATGATTAAAACCGTTCCTTCACGCCAAATTGATATACTGAATGTGCGGTTCAAGAAAAGCCTTTTGGGTCAAGTTTAAATTTATAAAAACCACTACCAACACTACTACTAAAGTAGCTAGAGTGAGTGGGGATCGTCCCAAGGGATTGGAGTCGTACTTGATTGTGGAATCGCAATTAGGGTTAGCAGGTCGAGTGATCAAACAAATGGTTAATTGGTTAATTAAACTAGAGAGTAACTAAATTAAATTAAGTAATTGAATGTAACAAAGAGTAAGTAAGAGAGAGAGAAATCTTAGGGTTTAGAGGTCACCATCAAGCAATGTTTTTCTACACTTCTAACTAGTGACTAATGAGGGTAATGTGTGTTGCAATATTGGTATGTGTGTGTGTGTGTTTGGTTGATTCAATTAGTAAGGGTGACCAATTAAGCATACATTGTCTAATCAACTTTTGAAAAGCACAATATATCTAGCAATTAAGTATATATTGTCTAAATAGCATGTGAAAAGTACAACATATCTAGCAAATCATTAATCCTTTCATTAAGCTCACAAGCCAAATACACCACAAGGTTAGAGACATATGCTACTTACATTCAAAAGTATGAAACATCAAACAACTAGCATGGATTGTCCTCTCATCTAACAACTATGCTATCACTACACTACAATTAAGCTAATGACATGAAATTAAACTAAGTAAGCTAAGGGAGAGGTATAATCCATCAAGAAAGGAGCATGGACCATCTAGAAAATCATAAGAGCATTCTTTTAAGTACAATATTTTGACAATCTCTAAATCTATAGCATTAATACGTATAGACATGCATCAATAACATAAGAAATAGAGGCAAACACATAAACATCTATTCTAGCATACATAGACATATGGATAGAATGAAATGTTCAATTGGAAGCATTAAACCACATAAATCATTGAATAAACAAGATCTATATATATCAAAGTGTCAAAACATTAATTACAACACTATTCCCTCAATAATACACAAGATTATGATATAGAAAGCATGCTTGGGGATAACTCTAGTCCCAAGAGGATGTCTAGCCACTCATGGTGATGTTGCTCCAACCCTCAAGGACTAACTCCATGTAAGAGATTTGCTCCTTGGTTGATGAAGAGTCTCCAATGGTGTCTCTAGCCTCCTCCTCCTCTAAGCTTGCTCTCCAAGAGATTAAACCTTAGAATAGTCTATGTCTCAAAAAATGCATCATATTCCTTTTATAGGTAGGTCAAGTGGCACATAAAATGAGCTGGGGTCGTGCAAAGAATATTCTCTAATGATTGGATAGAGGACGGATTGCACAAGCTGTAAATTTAACTTTTTCGCACTGGAGGAAGTTCGATCGATCGAACCTTGGACTTGGATCGATTGAACTGGCTGAGATCCATCGAACTTAGGCTGGATCGATCCAACTGGTTGAGCTTTTTGAGAAAAGACAAATCCGAGATATTTTAAGAGATATTTTTGGGAAAAGGACAAAAGTGGTTAGTGGGTGGTACAGTTGTGGATAGGATCAATCATTTGAATAAGGACAAAAGTGTTCGATCGATCGAATGGTGGTGTTAGATCGATCAAACTTTTGGACTTTATGCTTTTGGGTCAAGGCTTGGATCTATCTTGAAGTGCTGAAATCAATCATTGTTCGATCGATTGAATCTTGAAGTTGGATCGATCGAACTTTGCTGCTTCCCACCTTTGGCTTCATTTGCTTCTTTCTTCTCCACTTTGCTCATTTCTTTGTTTAATCCCAGAATTGCTTCAATTAAGCTCTTATTTGGCTAAGTTAACTTATTTTCGGGATAAGTGCCTGAAAATGGAAATAATATGAAATCAATCTAAAACGTTAAAGTAAAATAGATAAAGGTGCTAGAATGCCTAAGCTTAAGGGGTTTAAATACGCACTTTTCAGCGCTCATCAATCGGCAGGAGAATCAGGAGATTAAAGCAATGATGGCTCAAGCTTTAGCCTTAATCCAGGCCGAGGTAGTTCAACAAGGTCCACTAGCACTACTAGCGGCTGCCAGGGGGCATGTGATTGCAAACCCCCAACAAAAGTTAGTTGATTCATATCCTCTACTTCAACCTGCCAATTATAGTGAGGTCATGTTTGCCGATCAATGGACTTTTGGGCATAATGCAGTCCTGCCGATTGAGCTGAAGGCAAAATCAGCTGAGGCAAAATCGGCTAAAAGACAATCGGCTGAAATGAAATCGGCTGGAAGGAAATCAGCTAAGATAACTCCTTACTGGCACAATGTCATTCATCTAGTAGAGATAATAGGCAATCGGCTAGAATGATGCTTCATAATAATTTAATTCCTGCCGATCATGATCATGATTTGCTAGCGGAGTTAGAAAACTCATGGTGGGCAAGTCCTTCCTGATTTTTGGGCAAGTGATATCAACAAATTTTATGAGAATCTAGGAAGAAGCCTAAATCGGCAGATTTGGTTAAATAAAGATCATCTTAGGGGTGATTCAGAAGAAATAAAGCTTTGGAGCTCACTGATTTGCAATCTTATTCCAATTGATTAACTCAAAATTTCCTTCCAATGTATTTTAAAATTTCAAATATCTTATCGGCTTGGGTGGTCGACAACCAATAAAACACTTAAAATGGGGGGCATTGTTGACACCCATTTTGGTAATTTTGTATTGATGACGTGGCAGTAGAGAAGGGTGATATTCTACGTAAATTGAAGTTGAAATTGCATGCAGAGATGGGAAGAGTATTTTGAATAAGTTGTGGATAAAGATCATTGTTTTAAGACTTATCTTTTAGTTAGTTTTAGTTGCATAATTATGTTATCTGTAGGATTAGTTTATTTTGAATTAATAGTTTATTAAGTTATAGAGTTGTAATGCAAGTAAAATACTTGCATATAGGAGTTTGTTTTAGGTAGTTTTCTATAAATAATGCTATAGGCATGCTTTGTAAGAGATCCAACACCTTCAGAATCAATTTCTTATTTTATTTGCTTTCTTAAACACTTTCCCCAAATAGTATCCTTGCTATCTCTATCTCTCTCTCTCTATTTCAGTCTCGTTCTATTTCTCTCCCTATATCTCTGTCTCTCTATCTCTTCTCCCTATCGCTTTCTGTATCTATTTCTCTCCCCTTTCTATTCTCTCATTATTTACTATAAATTATTCAATATAAAGTTCTTTTAACTAAGGCAATTAGAACTCATTAAGGAGTATATTTGTTCTCTTCCTCTTGTAATCGCCTGAAAGTCAACCTTCCAAAAGAGACTGCAAGTTGACAAATTACACTTGAACCATATATTTGGTTCTGGCACGCTCGCAACACATCAATTTGAGATCGGCACCAGTCAGCCGATTTTAGGGTCAACACCTTCGAGCCAATCTCAAACTTGGCTGCTGAAAGCTTGATCAAACTCGAGCCAAGCTCGAACATCCATCAGAAGTTGAGCACGAACACTCCAAAGGTCGGCTGATTTACAGCCCTATCTGTAATGGCACCACTACCAGATTGTGACTCCAAAGTCTGTTATGGTCAAGGAAGATTTTATATGGTTCCTAGATTGGGTCGGGTTTCCTTGTATTAAACCTTTGTTTACTGGGTTGGGCTTTGTAGCTTGGGCTGTCCCGGTAATTGGGCAATCTCCCTGTTGGTGGCTGTAATTTTCGAGCTACTAATATATATATATATATATATATATTCAACTTTTACATTTTAAAGATAAATAAATAAATATGACGTATACAAAATAATTTAGCATAGTTAAATCACCAAGCGCTGCACTGTCTCTTTCATCTCTCTCTTAAGGACCCAAAATATATATATATATATATATATCCAGTTAAATAAATACAAAAATAGAAGAAAAGACTTAGTATTAAATTATGATTTTAATAAAAACTTGAAAACACTAATTTTTTTTTTTTTTTTAATGATGAAACCCAGGGATGGATTCCTTATTTGACGGGAAAATAAAATAAAATTAAAATTAAGGCAACAATATTAGGCATCATATGGTACCAAACGTTTTATTTTTCAGTAACACCACCATCACCATGCATTCACCACCTTTGACTGACACAATCGCGGCCAAAACAAAGCAGTTATAACTGATATTTGAGTCTAGTTGAAAACATATACATATACATATACCCTCGAAATTACAGAAAAAGCAATTGACATAAATTACATCAAAGGAAAAGTTTGACACCGCGTTCATTCATTACTGAATTTTCGTAGAGTTTCTTTGTCATTCATGGATCAATTGTCTGAATCCTCAAAGTTCTTGCTTTGATTCCTTAAGTATGAAGACGTCCGTCAGAGCAGTTTTCGACACCAAAGCAGCCCCCAAGAGACACAAAGCCTGCAACAAAAATCCACAGTATCCATCAATGGATCATTGGCAACTAATAAATGTAACAACTAGTGTAAAAGTTCTCAATTATATATATAGCATGAATAGAGTATAAAACCAAGACCTCCCAAAATTAAAACTATTGACAACCATTTGTCCCGAAAATTAAGAACAACTATGTATAAAAGCTCTAATGGATATCATCAGAAATGTAATGAATTCTCAGTTTAAGAAGCCACAATGAACTAGTTGTTAGAATCAATAGAATGTAAGCAATACTTGGAAGTCTCAAGTATTTACCTCCTCCACACCGATAGTCACTTCTTGCTCTAAAATGTCACTGTGAGAAATATTAAATCTGTCCATAAAACATACAATAGACATTAGAGATAAAGGCATTATGGTCAAATCGTCTGTCACCAAGAAAGGTCCCCTAAAGAATCCATTGCCAGTTATTGCTTCCACTGGACGGGTCAGACCTCCACCGGAAGAGATATTGAAAAGGGAAGAAGCAGTAGAGTGAGATGGATATGAAGCTTCCTCGATGGAAATGAGTTGGTTATGCAATGCAAGTCCTCGGGCCAGCTTTGGATTGACTAAAATTGCCTTAATCTCCTCAGATTTTAAGAATTTCTTAGCATCCAAATCTTGGATGCTCTTGTACATATTATCTAAGCATCCCCTCAAGGACAAACAAGGCAACTTTTCAAAGATATAACCAAGCGGATATGTGAGGAAACTGCCAATAAGATTAACAAAATCCTCATTTGCTTCTGCATACAATGCCCTGTTACTAGATTTTCTGATGATAAGATTCAAAGTTGTCTTTGTTTCATTTTTTGTTGCGTCCACGGCCCTTTGAAGTTGATTCATGCTTCTTGGACCATACTTTTCGTGGCAAATGTCAAAACTGCTTTTGTCAATTGCTGGTTCCAAGATGATCTCCGAGAATGGAGCCCTTGTTGTCAATGAACAACTGAGCAATTTCATAACCTGAGAAAGAGAGAGAGAGAGAGAGAGAGATAGAGTGACCATTCATTTTGTTCATAAAATAAAATAAAAGTAAAACTAGTTAACTTGTTTATTACCTTATCCCTTCCTATGTTTATGGTCCTTTCTTCTCTTGTGCTACTATCTGTAGCTTCAAACTTACTGAGCAGAGCTAAGATACTCGTAGTGGAAATGGGCTTTACATGAAAGTCATCAGTTATCATCAACCTTGCAGTAGGATTCACAAACACCCCTCCATCTGGAGGCACATGTCCTTGCACTTCGAGGTTCCTAGCGCAGCCCATGACACGTCCACAGTGGCAACGAGCATTGTAGTAAGGACCAAAACAGTGATCGTAATAGCACATATAGTACTCATTAGTATCACTATTAACAAAATTCAGTTTTAGGTTCATGCAGTAAATTTCAGCTGCACTTCGAGGACGAAGCAGCATGTCCTTGCACTTCACACTTTGTAGATGTTTCTCGTCAAGATTCTCCACACTTTCATATAAGTTATTCAAACAACCAAAATGGTCTTCTATTGAGTGTTCACGAGCAACTCTGATAAAGTTTCCAAGAGGCATAGTCATGAAGCTGAAGAGAACATCAACAAAATCCTCATTGGACTCGACACAAACAACACGGTTTTTATCTTTGTCCACCAGCACCTTCAGGCTTATACTTTGTGAATCGCCGTTCGACATCATTCGAAGGCAAAAGGAAAATAACAGGCAGCTTATATTTTTAATGAATGCAACCTGCATCAATCATCATATAGAATTTGAAGTTTCATAAAATGTTGGAATTTGCATGTTTATATGATGGCTAATCTGTATGTTAAGTTCTGTATAATGACGAAACTGTAGCAACTGAATTTCTATAATGACTAAATTGTATGTTATAGAAACTAATAGATTGGCACGTTCATTAGAACAAATCATATGTGCTATTTTCATTATTGCAAAAGTCGACATAAAATAAAGATAAAACATATCATTACCTACATCAATGATCCTCAATTTTCAAAGTAACCTGACAACAATATCAGGGAAAAGAAGACACAATATAGACATTGATATCCTCTTCCTCTATGCACTGCCTTACTGGTGCAAGGCAAGTGCTAAGAAGTCATTCAATCAAAATAATTCCTAGACAATCTTTGAACGTTTTGCCTAATCCACCAACTCTTAAAGCATAGAAGAAGGCATAGAATTATACCCGTTCCAAAAAATCAAAACATGACTGAACTATAAACATGTTCTATGATCTACACAGCTTACAAAGCTGGTTAGGAAAAACAAGGGACTGAAACCGTTTGGACTTTCATTCCTAACTGATTACAAAGCATGCACGTTAGTGTTGTAATACTTGACTTGTTACATTGATTTTAGACTCAAACTACATAGAAACTAAACCATATTTTTGCACTGTGACTTGCTGAAATTAGTAAAATTAGTGACAATGAAAATTCAAGCATACGGTATGCTGAAAAATAGACAAGCATTAGGGCTTCGTTTGTTTGAATGTAAAATATTTTTTAGAAAATATATTTGACTTTGGTTGTCGTAAAATATTTACGCAAAAAAAAAAAAAAAAAAAAAGTAACAAAAATAACTTATCCATCAATATTAGACAAATTATTTTACATGTCTCGCCATGGACTAGACCTCAATCTCGATTTAGACCTTTGACAAACATCCAAAAAGTAAAAATAAAAAAGTATTTAAGGAAAAAAAGAAAATCATTTCTAAAAATAATACTTTTTGTCCAAACAAACGAAGCCTAGAAGGAGATACCATTATCCAAAAAATCCCGTCCTCAATGACAAAAAATAAAAAAATAAAAACCTCCAAAAATTGCAATCAAGGACTTCCCCTATGTTCCTCTTATCTACTACAGTGGATGTTAAAAATCAAGAACAAAATTAACCAGAACTGATTGCCAGTAATCAAATAATCATGAAATTGAAAGAGAGCCTAATTAATAGATGTTAATTTCTTTTTAGCTATTAACAGAAAAGTAAATAATCCTGAACAATTGAATACAGAAAATTTATCCTGTAGCAACAATTTCACGTAATGGCATGCTCTTTAGTGTATATATATGTATACATGTAAATAAACATCATCAGCCTACCCTTTCAACATTAGAAAAGAACCATATAACATTTGGATCACATTGTCCTCAAAAACTAAAACAACAAAAACATCACTACCTCAATCAAAATATATAATACCATGACGAAGATCAAAGAAGTAATACTAATTTTAACACTCAATAATGGAAGAGATAGATGGTACCTGAACTGAGCAAGCACAGCCTCAAATGCCTGAATATTGGAGTATTAATTTGTGGGTCGTTGATGCTTAGAGAAGAAATAAAGTGTGGATGATGATTTATAAATGGGTTTTAAAAGGGAAAGCATAGAAGTTGACTGGGTGTTGGAAGGAGAGTGGAAAATATAAACTAGGTTACTTTTCCTGTGTCACTGTCTCAATCGATTTATACGACAAGAAAAAGAAAGAAAACATAGTAATACGGAGTAGCGAATTAATCTTTTGTGGATGGAAGAAAAATAATAATAATAATCATATACAGTATGTTTTAAATTGAGAAAATAAGGATAATTTTTTAATTTGAAGAATAAAATAACTAAAATACTCTTAAGTTAAAATAAGAATTATAAAATAAATAAATAAAATAAAAATAAAAAGTAGAAAAGAAGGGCATTTTTTAAAATTTTAATAAAACCAAAAAAAAAGTATTTATTTTTTATTATTAATTTATTTATTTTGCTTTTGATTTTTTTTAATTATTATTATTTATTTATAGAAAAAATAATAATAAAACCTTAAATTCGGGCATTTTAAGATTTTTTTTTAGGATAAAGTGTATTAACCTCCTTGAACTATTGGTCATTTGTCAAAAACCCTCCTGAACTACAAAAAACCCCTAAACTATGATTTTGTTGCAATTTACCCCCTTGAACTATTGGTCATTTGCAAGAAACCCCCCTGAACTACAAAAAAACCTAAGAACTATGATTTTGTTACAATTTACCCCCCTGAACTATGATTTTGTTTCAATTTACCGCCATGACATTAGCTTCTGGCACCGAAAGTTTTGAAAGACCAATTTACCCTTATAACACATTGCATCATTTTAACTTATACACTTCTTACATTTTTTTTTTTTTTTGCCAAAAGATGTTTTTCACCCAACACAACCAAAAACAGAGAGCTAAAGAGAGAAAAAAGAGACCAAAGAAATCCGAGGTCGGTGGGATAGTTCGGTCTCAGATGATGGCAGCTTGTGCGCAAAGGACTCGGCTGTGATGAAAGCTTGGTTGACTCGGCCGTGAATTGTGGAGGCGGTGGCGAGCTCAATGGGGCTCGGCAGTGAATTGTGGATGACTATGTGCTCGAAACACGGACGACGGTGTGCTCAGCTATGGAGATGGCAGAATGGGTCGGCGAGCTTGGAATGGACGGTGGAATGGATCGGCGACCAAGGTGAGCTGAACGGCGGGCAAGGTGGTGACGGTGATAGGCTGACGCAACGGTGCAGATAAGTGCGATATATATGGCCAACGGATCTGGTGGGTGGTGTAACGGCTATGATTGGAAACCCATTGATCCAAGCAACAGATTCCTTGGCTTATCCAAACACTCCTCAGACAATATCTACCACTCCGATCCCAGCCGCAAATTCCTCGGCTTCATCGTCCCTTTCAGTCAATCAATTCGCGCGGACAGGGTAAACTGCAAAAATATATATATAGTTCAGGGGGGTTTCTTGCACATACCTCAATAGTTCAGGTAGGTTTTTTGTAACTTTTATAGTTCAGGAGATTTCTTGCACATACCCCAATAGTTCAGGGGGGTTTTTTTTGTAACTTTTATAGTTCAGGGGGGTTTAATGCACTTTACCCATTTTTTTTTTTTATAAAAAAATGGTCAAAATTGATAAGGAAACAATTTGCTATATCTTAGACAATTTATATTTAAAAGTATTTGGGTCATTGGATTGGGTATGGGTTCACTTGCTCAATTAACACCCAACCCATTTATGACCCACTATAAATGAGCTAATAATAAGTTATTGAACTATTACTGATTTGCTCATTTAGGACCAGCCCAAAACCCACTGAAACCCAACCCAATTACCACCCCTCCTCTTAACAACCACTTAAGTAATTTAGTAAACTCAAATTGAATTGTCATCAATCTATTATTGAATTACAACAATAATTTTGAGAATTTTGACTTTTCTCTCCATTCTGATTTTAAGGTCTGTATTATTATAGGAGGTGATGGATGCTTTATTAGTACAACCAAAAGTGAAAGTGTGCAAAAGAAAAAGTTTCAAAGAAAGAGATATGTTGTTTTCAAACTACTCAAGGAAGAAAACTAGATGAAAATTTTAGAAATTAATTTTCTAATTTCGTGGAAATCAAACCATTAATTTTTTTCGATTTGTTGAAGAAGATCAAATCTTGCAATTGACTTTTAATGGGCTATTGAAAAACCATTCATTTATATAAATATAAAAAAGGTTATAAAACTTTTTTTTTAAAAAAAATAAAAAAATAAATAAATAAATAAACGGCGTTTAGAAATTTGTTAATCGGCAAAACTGGGTTTTTTAGAGTGGATTTTTTTGGGAAAAACGATTAATTTATACTTCTCTTTGCTGTCGATCATAGCATTTGTTTACTTTCCAAACAAAAAAATCATAGCATTTGGTGAGTGTTAATCTTTACAAGAAAAAAAAAAAAAAAAAGAAAAAAAAAAGAAATGCACACTGCATCAATTATCACATAAAATGTTAAGACATTCATCTCATGTGGAATATAATGAGAATATTGTCTTTTTCATGGAATAATCGTTCAAAGGAAAATGATGGATGCAATCCAACCATATTTAAGGACTACTAGTAAAGTCACGAATCTCACATTGGTTGAGGGAAAGTCCAAACATGAACAAAGATTAATAGTAGTTTTGCCTTTGCCACCATGACAATTCAAAAAGTTTTGAAAGGTATGATTATATATATATATATTTATTACACTAAATTATCCAAACAAAGGAATAAACTTGAAAAGGAGCACATGAACTAAACTAAACAGAGACTAACAAACTTAAAACTCCCAAATTGGGATTGCAATGTATTTACTACTACTCTAACCATAAAATTTCCTGGCTAATGCTTCTAATTTTTATTTTTTAAGAAAAAAGGAATTCCCCCTTTTTTTCCAAGTTTGAAAAATAATAATAATAGTAATGTCCTTTCCCTTTTCCACTTTTCCTTCCATACTTACTTCCTTCTTGAGAACCAAACCAAGCAGTATAAAATATGAAAAATAATTCAGCAAAACTAAATCCCAAGGTACAAGCTGGGTAACTCCAAAGACTTCCGAGTTCTAAAAATGGTTCTGGGTAGAAACTTTAAAACAGCAAAAATAAATAAATCTTGGAATTCAAGGGTGAGAAATAGGAATGTGGCAATTAAGGGGAAAATAATTGTAATGTCTGTAACTTAAAAAGGCAAAATAAAAAGATAAAAGAAAAGAAAAAAAAATGTTTGGGACCCACAAGTTTAAATGGTCATAAGACCACGTTTTTTTTCCTTTTTTTTTTTTTGTTCTCTGTTGTTTCTTCTATCTCGCAGCTCTCTGCCTCTTTGTATTTTTTTTTTTCTTTTTCTTTTGCAAGCTTTCACTCTTGATTTCTCCCTCATCTCTTATCGGATTAAGGTGCCGTTTGAGGCAAAACGACGAGCACGACGAGCTCTACGTGCTAGTACCAGAAATTCCAGCTTTTGGTCCTCTTTGGGAGCTCGAATTTAGAGACTCATTTTAAGGGTTTTGGCTCACTTTTGAGGTAGGGACACCTTAATCCACTACTTTCTTGTTCCATTGTGAGTTATAATCATTTGTTGTGCCAAGCATGCTTAATTAGAAGTTAATTGTATTAATGATTATTTTAAATGTTGTCTAGAGAAATTAATGTATTTGAATGTGAGTTGTTTTATGTGTAAAGCATGCTTAAATGTATTTTGTTATATCTTAATGTGTTAATAATTACTTGGGAGATGTTGAACATATTAAATGTTTAATTTTATGGTGTAGAATTTTAAATGCCATGACATTGAATGTATGGAACATATATACATGCATATACCATTGGGTTTGCATGAAATGGGAGAAATTGTTCTTGAAATAAATATGGGGAATTTCAGGGAAGTGTTTTTGATGAAATGGTTTTATGCGAAACCCGGTCGCTGCGGGGTTACCAACGGGCCGGAGGTTAATATAGCCTAGAGGGGACTAGGGAGTCGTCCTAGTGTGGTTGAGCTAGCTGGGCCCTATAATGACGCCGCGGGGTTACCAAGGTTCAGGGACACTACCTAATCCTCCTCTTGTGTCGCGGCGGGGCTACCAAAGGGCGGGCTGTATTAACAGTTTGGAAACAATGTTTTGGATTATGAAAATGGGGAGCGACACTAGCATGCATTGCATCTCATACCATTGCATTGGATATACTTGAGATTGAATCGTTATGCTGTATTATTTCCCGACATTGTATGATTCCCATTTCCCATTGGCCTATGCTTTGTTTGGATTCACAAGGACACAAGATGTGTGTCTTAAGTGTCACCTGCTGAGCTTTATGCTCACCCTACTATTCATATTATTTTTTTTAGGTCTTGGAAATGAACTGGTGGACGACAATCCACCTCAAGCTTGAAAGTTGTTAGAAGGTTGTTTGCTATTTTGTATTTTGACCATTTTATGTATATTCGTAGTTGTGGAAATGTAACTAAGTTAGTATTCATGGCCTTGTAACTTAAGAACGAACTTATCTTTTGTTTGATGTAAATGAAACTAATGAAATTATGGTATATGTTTCCATGCAATTGTATCATGTAACGTTGTAAGACAGGGATTTTAAATCTTAACCATGTATTTTGGGACTGTAATTATGATAATTTAGATTAATTGGTGTGTGGATATTCCACCATGAGAGGAACTATGTTAAGGTATAATGAACGGATGAATGGGATGCTGGATGATTTTATGTGCTTTGTGTATTGGGACAGGTTGTTGAAGGCCCATTTTTAGGAGAGGTTATGCCGAATTTTTTTTTTAAATTTTGGCATCAGCTAGGGTCGTTACAAATTTGGTATTAGAGTGATGGTTCGAATACCATTAGGACAACGGGTAGAGGCTTACCTAGGGTTGTCTGGGAAGTCATTTGCATTGTTATTTCCTTGCTTGGAAAAGTGTTTTGCTATGTGAAAAAGCATGCTTAACTACTTACTTGTTTACGTGCTTATGTGCTTATATGCCTATATTAATGTGTTCATTGCATAGTATTACATGCTAAATGTTTGTACAGTATCTTTTTGCATTGGGTTGTTCACGGTTGGACCTTAGTGTTATCGTTATTA